GGATGAGGAGGGTGCCTGCAGTCAGGAACGGAGGGACAATCCTGTACACACATGGATGCAGAAACCATCTCATGGTAGTGATTGTGACAAAGATGATGGCGAGTACACCCAAGTGCAACAGTGTCTGTGGCTGTACAAAGGAGAAGGTCACATAGTGTGTGTACATTGTACTGCTGCACTGCGGTGGCAGAGGAATGATCTTCGACATAAAGGAGATTGTATATATAATATATATTCAATTTCCCCATATTTGGACCAGTAACAAAAAACTTAGCAAAAACATTGGACTCGAAAAGAACTTTGGCGAACCCCGAAAGCTTCTCCGAACGGGGTTTTATAGTGCTCTTGAGTTTGATTTTTTTTGTTTTTTTTTTGCCTGTTTGTTTTTTTTATGTTTGTATTATGACCCTGCATACTTTGTTCGCAAAAGTTTCAACAACATTGCTTGTAGCGATGTGGCGAAAAACCCTGAATTTTTGGCCTTCCATTAACCGCTTGTGTTGACAATAAATGCATTGAATTGCCTGTCTTAAAACGTTCTCTGTATAGACCATCATGTTGCAGACATGTGCTCCACTCCAAATCGATCCAGACGAGCCTGGTGTTTCCGTTTGGGAGCTATTGTTATGGACTGTTCTTTCAGATGCATTCACTGGATTCCATTTCAGCAAAACCAGTTTCATCTGGCTGGTAGGGTTGCAGAGGGAGGAGGGAAAGAGGAAATAGATCGTCCTACCTGGTTTTTTAGATTATCAATAACCATCTTGATGGCACCAACCCTTGCTGGCCCCTCATTCCGGCTTGCCATTGTCTCCAGCATACCATCAGGAAGCCCTCCTCCACTTGCTGCCATACCACTCCTAGTTCGTAACATAACCCCGTTCTTGGCCCCCATTGAACCATCGACTGTAATGCTTGATTCAGTTGACTGCCGATTCATATCCGCACCACCGGTCCGATCTTGCTTGCGATGCCATCCAGTGGATGAAAAAGACTCTGACGACTCTCTTCCATCCACAGCCATAGCTTCCTCAGTAAAAGCATTGCCAGCCATCTGTACAACTCCACCTCTCCAGAGCATCCTTCCACTGGTGCGAGACCTTGCAAAGTTCCGAGGTTCCCACAATGCAGTGCCATCGAGGACATCCTGTTGGGTTACTCCACCGGTTGGGACTTGCTCATGTGACCTTAAGGGGGTCCCTGAACCACTGTGGGAATGCATCAGAGTCCCATTTGTCAGTGCAGAATTTGATGTTAGGGGAGGGTTCTCTAATCCCTTTCTGACCATCAGAGCGAATCCCTGATTTCTGTATCCCACTGGTGCAGGATCCTGGTTCTCCAGCTCCACACCCCACAACTCCTTCGGTTCATTTAAAAAGCCATTTCCGGGAGTGGACCCCGGTCTAGTCTCCATGTGGCTGCTGCTGACTTGAGGAGAGGGAACTTTGGCTCCATTGGAATTGACACTATCTATTGCTGGCCGCAGTGGCCTTGAAGCAGGGCACTTAGCGACAAGATAGGCAATCAGGTCCATTTGACGTCCATTTCCCATCAATTGCAGCAAATCATCTGAAAGCTCACCCTTCGCATCTGTAAACAGAGCTCTGGATGTCATCAATGCACTACCATTTCTTTGCAAGTCAGTGCCATTCAAGTAGGCAAGCCGAGGAAGCAAGAAAAGCACCAGAGGTTGGATATCAATACCTCTTCCAGCAGCAATTGCAGCTATTGGATTGCCTGAAAGGTGCAGCTCCACCAGGCCTGTTGATGTCGTTAGGTACTTGAGGTCGGCAAACTCTTCAATTTCGTTGTCTGCAAGTGAGAGATTCTGCACCAAAATCCAAAAATTACATCAATGATTCATGTAAAAGGCATGCTGACAATTTAGCAGGCCACATGTGATGGTGGTGATGATGATGTGTGTGGCAGGGAAACAGGGGGAAGCGGAGGGAGGGCAAGAGAGGGACAGGGGAAGAGAAAGGGAGAGATCCTCTGGAGAGATAAGAGACTGGGAAGATAGTCATGTGCATGCTCCATCACCACGGACAAACACACTGGCAGTCTGTGACAGCGTGGAAATTATATTCGCTGATTATTATTGAAAGCTTCCCTACTCCTCTCCTGTTCTTCGCTACCTTTGTCTAATGTCCAGTCTACTTACTGCTTCTGTTGATGACAAACATTTGTGCAACTTGAGCACATGCATGATGTGGAAATTGTGAGCTTCTCAAGAGTGGATTCATTACACCCATCTA